TAAGAGAAAAAAAATGCCTTTTTATAAAAATTTCAATTTCTGAGAAGTGTGTACTTGGTCTCTTTTCTGATGTTTAACTGAGAGCGATTGTCAAAGTAAAGACAGCTGTTTGTTACACGGGTTTGGGTGGGGAGAATGGAGTCTGACTGGTGGGTCGAGCCCCCTCTCTGTTGGGACACCTCCCAGGACCCAGTTTCAGCGGGAAGGTGGGCCAGTGGGCGGGGCCAGAGAGGCGCCACAGGGACACTGTGTTCAGCTGATGGATGGCTGGGTGCCCAGGACCTTGAGCAGTTTGCTTGTCCAAACACAAGCCAACCTCTCATTTGTAACACTTGCCAGGTGGGTGGGCGGGTGAGGGGAGGTCCCAGGTAAATATATATTTTTTGCTTTCACCTCATACCTTTCCTGTTGGCACCGGCCTCAGCCTCATCTTCCTGGCTTCACAGGAGTATCGAGGGGCCTAAGTATGCAAGACGGCTGCGGGGTTTAAGGTTGGCAGGGAAGGTGAGCTCTCCTCCAGGGAAGGGAGAGGGGTGCCAGGACAGCTGGGGGCTAGGGGCTCCTGTGATGCCCCCACCACCCAGCCTGGTTTCCCCCTCTGACCTAACCAGTCTTTTCTGTCACACAGACCCTCTCCTTCCCCTTCTTTCTCTAGAGAGTTCCAAGTAGGTGCTCAACTCGGACAGAAGACCCAGGGAAAAGGTCAGTTTCTTCTTAAGGAGAACTGGTCCAGGGCAGGGACAGCAGCACACACCCCCAGGAGACCACCACGTACCTGCCTCCACACAGGACGGGCCCCTCTGGGTGCAGAACAGCCTTTGGCCTGGGTCTTTCTGGGACTCTGATTCTCAGGCTGCAAGTGGCATCAGGCCCCCCACCCCCCGACACAGAGGCTGATTAGGCTGCCAGCCTTCTTGTCCCTGTTGTCTTTCACCCTGACCAGAGGGCTGACACCCTGTCCCCCAGTGACAGACTCTCCTTCAGCACCGCCTGTGCTTCTGTCCCCACTTCCCCCCACAGCTGACCTATAAGAGAGGTTTCAGAGGACCGACGAAATGCTTTCCAGCCATGGAGAGAAGGTTGTCCCCTGCTCCTGCTGAAATGAGCCGAGGCTCTCTGCTCACCCAGGACCCTGTCACCCAGACCTGGGGGCAGGGCCAGCATTGCTTTTATGCTCATGGCCACGTCCAGCCATTTTTTCTCCCATCTCTCCTGCCACTCACATCCGATCCGTTTTATTCTCTTGAGTTCCTACTTCCTACACGGAGGACCTGGGCACCTGTCTGACCGTCTTCCGGTCCCGTGTTCCGCCATCACCCCAGTGCCTCCTGGGATGGTCGGTGGACAGAAGTCTGTCCGATGCCCTAGCTTTGTTCTTCCTCACGGTGACAGCAGCACACTGTCCTGGGAGCAGCCCCACCTCTGAAACATCACAACCCAGCATTCCAGCCTCCATGTCCTCAGGTCTCCTGCCTCTCACCTGTACTCCTACCACATGCTACGGCCTCCTGCCTTTCCTCCCGGCCACCTGGCTCCTTCTTGGGGCTGTTACTTCCTTCCCAACTCAGCTCAGAGCCATGTCCGGTCTGAACCACCGTGGCCAGCGGCACTTGTCCTCCCCTCATGGAGTCCCGACTCCCCACTTCCGCCTTCTCTCCGCCCCTTCCCACCGCCGCCCACCGGCCCGTGGATGTTTCCACCTCTGCTTCCCAGAGAAGACAGCTTCCCCAGTACCTGCAAGCTTCACCCTGTCTGCTGGTGTGCGGCCCCCCACCGCCCCTCCAGCACCTTCCACTAGACTCCATCACTGTCCTCCCTTCACCAAGTAAGTGTGCTCGGGTTTTTTCTCACTTACCCCCTTCCTCACCCCTATAAACTACATCCTGACCTGTGTCCCTGTCCTCATCCCACTCCCTGAAGTCTGGCTTCTTCACCCACCCCCGAAACGCTGTCACTGAAGTCACCTTTGACCTTCGTGCACCCCCCTCCAGCAGACATTCGCAGGTCTGATCTTGCAATCCCTCAGTCATTGGCCACTTCCTCCTGGAAACTCTGCCCTCCACTGGCTTTCTTTTTTAAAGCCCTTCTCTTAGTGTCACCACTGCTTCTGGCTGCTTTTCTCAGCTTTCTTTCCTCGAGCGCCTTCCTCTGCCCTTCTCCACCGGGTTCCATCTTGGCCCTGAGCTCTGCTCTTCTCTGTAAGGTCTTTGAATGGGTCCATCCAAACCCAAGGTTTAAATGAGATTTGGGAGAGTCCCCATTGTTCACCTCCAAGCTGGACTTCTGCCCCTCCCCCCACGCTCTAGACCCTGCATTCAGCCACCCACTGGGCCTCTCCACTTGGATGACCCCCCCCCCCGGCACCTCACATCCGATGTACCCCAAATTGAACATTACTTTCCCCAACGCCTCCTCCTCCTCCTCCTCCATCCTCTAGTTCAGTGAATGTCACACTATCTTCCCAGTCACAAAGCCACACACTGCTCTGATGTCACCACGTTCCATATCACATATTTCATCCTTCTTGATGTTGAACATGAAATGAATTAAATGGCAATGTCCTGAGCCACTATTTCCCCGTGGTGGTGACCCATGCAGGGTCACGAGAGACGTATTTCTGGCCCAAGGAGAAGCATTTAGGTTGGGACTCAAAACACAAAGCAATTCTTCTGTCAGAAAGGCTCAATCACCTCACATTCCTTGGTCCTGCAGGAGAAATGGGGGGAGACCAAGGTGCTGGGATCGGACAGGTAGGCGGCTGCCGCATCACACTGTCACAGGAGGGAGTCACTGGTAGAGAATCAGGACTCTGGACTGTGGTCTCCACTCAGGAGCCATCAGCTTCGAGGAAGTGCCGTGCACTCGCAGCCTAAGGGAGGAGCCGAATTCTTCCTCTTAACTGTGTTCTCAGAACAAAGTTGGGAAGGCGGCACCCATGTTTTCCTCACTACGTGGGGGAGAGTTTGGGGTTGGAGAGCTACATGCTAAGGTCGGGGGTGGGGGAGGCGGGTGGCTCTATGTCCAGCGAAAGAAAGGGCCGTCTGTTCTAGGCCTCAGGCAGAGTCTCCTCTGGGGTTTCAGCGTCCTGCCTTGAAGACTGTGTCCTGACCCCGCTGACCTCCTGTGTGACTCTCCCAACACTTCCTGGAAAGCTTTGCAGTGCTCAGCAAAGCGCTGGGAGCTGCCCAGCTGAGTAGCTGCTGGGCCCTGGGGAGGGTGTGGTGGGGCCTTCATCTTGTCACAGTGAGAAAGGGAGGTCTTTCGTATACATTTCCTAAGGTCTGGGATCTATAACAAACAAACAAACAAACAAACAAACAAACAAGCCCGTTTTGGGGTGTTTCCCCTTAAGAAAGGAGGATTCCTGGACAGAACATGGGAGGTCCCCTAGGCTAGGACAGCCTGAGGCCTGCAGAAATCTGCCATGACTGCAGGATGAGGCCCGAGCCACCCTGGAAAGGAGCCTCTCTGTCTCCCAGGGCTCAGCAGGGGCTTGCGTGGGCCCAGCACTGGCCGGAGGTGGAGAGGACGCCTGGGTTTAGTGGAGGACCTGCAGGCGGTGAGGAGGGGCTCCAGGTGGAGCAAAGACAACGTCCCACTCCCCAGTCCCTG